AACAGCCCAGGAAGCCTCTCCCCATTCTTTATCTTCCGTCCTTTGGGGAGAGACTGGGATGTGAATTGGGCTGTCCTGGGTGTGTCAGGTCACAGCCGGGGCCAGTCTGGTCTCAGTCTCCGTGAAGTTCAGTTTCAGTAACTTTGTTCCCATGTTGGGTAGAGCTGGGTGAATTGTTTTTTTGGAAAAAAAATAGTTTAACCCAAACTTTATATTTCGTTCAATAATGTGAAACTGTCCACGGGCTTCACACACACGATTTAAAAAACAGCCAGAGGAGAAGGAGGGCCACGGTGGTGGTGATGCTTTCGTTCCTTCTAACTTTCTGAGCTTTAGCCCTGTAGTTAGGGAGCACACGTCTGGGATGTTAGATACCTTGGTTCAAATATGAGTTCTGGAACAGGCCCATAAACTTAATAATTGAAAATTGTGAAAAAAATTAGATTTGGTATTACCCTACCCAAACTTTTTTTGGGAACTGCCACTAAACCTTCCCCCCCCCCCCAAGTTATCTTTTTAGCTCTAATAATGAGGCATGCAAGAATAATTAAGTATCTTTCTAAGAGGGCTCAGACTGATAATGGGGTTTAAACTGTGTCTAGTATTGTAAGCTATGTGTGGAAAAACCTGTCTCCTGTGTTCTCCTTTTCCCTTTGATTGCAGGTGGTTAAACTGGTTAAGAACAGCAGAACTTACTGTAATATGATTATAAAGTTGCCATTTATAAATAGACATATAAGTTTGTGGGAGAGATTCGGGAAATTAGTAAGGTAGAAAGCACAATATTAGAGTGATCAGGGTCTCATTACTTTGTCTGTATTTTAGCTCACTTTAGATGCCATCCATGAAATGGTGTTTTAGAAATAAGTCACTAGATTTATTAGAGACAGCAGGCAGTTTCTTTTCCTCTATAATTGCTCTCCTTCCCTCATCCCAGCCTCTTTCTCTAAATGGCTAATACCTTTTGACCTAAGGAATATTAAAAAAACAACAAATAGTCTGGTAGCACTTTAAAGATCAACAAAACATGTAGATGGTGATGTAGACCAGTTATCTGAAGAAGTGAGATGTGCCCACAAAAGCTTATGATACCATCTAATGTTTTGTTGGTCTTTAAAGTGCTACCAGACTATTTGTTGTTTTTTAAGTTTATCCTGTACAGATTAATTTGGATGCTACTCTGAAGCTAAGGAATATTGTTCCGCTTATATGATACGGCTTTCATTTTTGGCTAAATTTATTAGTGTCTTTTACATCTGTGTATGCATTTTGAGATATTCGCATTGCTCTACCCAGTTGATACTGACTTTACAAATGGTCAAAGTGAAGGAATTGGGGAAGGAGGTTTGGGAATCTGTTATATTGTAGGTTTAAAACATCAGATAGGATTTTAGATTACAGCGGCCTTGTCTATGCTAAACTTTCTAGTTGATCTACCCTATGTGACTTCAGCTATGTAAATAGTGTAGCTGAAGTTGACATACCATGGCGTCTTCCACATGGTAAGGTCAGCAGTGGCTGCTCTCATGTTGGTTCCAGCTGCTTTTATTGTCCTAGTGGAGTACCAGAGTCGAGGGGGAGTGCTCAGAGATTGATTTATCACATCTAAGCAAACACAATAAATTGATGGCCAGTGGATCAGTCACTGTAGCGTGGATCCACCTTGTAGTGGAGACATGGATCCCCCTTGTAATGGACACAAGCCCTTAAGTTGAGAGAGTACTACTTTATAAATCCTTGCAGGTGCATGATTCTACCTTTCCTATATGCCTTACACAATGTAAACACAGAGTGTAACATAAGATTCTACTATGTAATTCTTATATATTATTGCTGTAGTGTCTAACCAGTTCTGAAGCAGTAGACACTATAGTGAACTAGCCACATTCTACCAGCTAAATAGCCACATGTGGCTAGTGGCTACCATGTTGGACACCGCAGTTTTATTGGAATTGATGTGCAGTTGGCTCTTGAAACATCATGTCTGACCTCTGCTGCTTTGAAGATATTGACTGCTGTTAGTTAAAATATTTACTTCATATAATACTATTATCTATAGGATTTGACTCTACAGACCTATGTGTATGAGCATTTAAATATTATTTGTATACACTTTCTTTGCACACTTGAATTCTGTTGGATTTTTGGGAGGAGGAGAATGGCAATTTAAAGCAACATTGTAGAAGTTGGTGGGCCCAAAACTTAAAACAATTCTTCAGAAATTTTCAGCTTGCCAGGCCTATTATCATAACATGGGACCTATGAAGAGACTAACACAAATATATATACTATCATGAGCTCATGATACTATATATATTTGTGTTAGTCTCTAAGGTGCCACAGGACTATTAGTCTGTTAGTTTAAAAACAACAAACAGGGCTATCCCTCTGAGACTATTGAATCTGTGAAATTGCCATATAATGGCTCTAAAACCAATTACCAGGCATGTGCCAATCCTGAATTTACTTTCAGTTGTTCATTACTGTGTCTATAGGCCCTTAGTTTACAGTTTGCTTTAAAATTTCATTAGTTTGTTGCTGAAAATTGTGCTTCTAAATTTATTTAGAAGCACAATCTGAGTATTCATCTTTAGTTTTAAATGCTTGGATTGTCAAACATATAAGGTTTTTTTAAATAAATTCTTTAAAAGAATTCTTCTCATACACATTTTAATTAATATAGTACAAAAACTGCTTTCAAAGCAAAGCCTTTCTGACCATTTCCTTCACCCCTTTTATCTTCCTGTTGAAGAGAGCCCATAAAGGGACAGCATTCCTTTTCTTCCAGGTACCTGGACAGATGGCTTTCCCTTTTTCTTGTGACTATTTGATGAGCTAGTTTTAGCAGAACAATCCACCAATAAAAGTGTTATGCTTCAAATCTTTGGAAATATATTTTTAGGAAATGTATCATAAATGTGCTTTTTTATGAAAATCACACAAAATAAATTAGTGTTCCCTTTTTCTAAAAGCAATGAACTTTATGAACACACTTAATGTGCTGGTTAATTTAAAACGTCTCTGTTACTGTGAATTTAAATATGTGGTAATCTGGAATGATTACTTTATGGAGTCTTAAGGGTTTATTGTAAATAAAATCAGCTTAGAAATACTGAAAAAGAAAATGTAAAACAGAATGGCTGCATAATGTATTCCATAAAATTTAATGTTATGTTCACCAGGACAACTCACTTGCTTTTACTACAAAGGTTTTGCAGGTTGGGCTTTAATAGCCTCACCCATCACCCTTATTCTCTAGTCCAGTGGTTAGGTTACTTACTGGGTTGTAGGAGATACTGGTTCAAATCCCCCACCTACCTGTTCAGTAGGGGGTTGCACAAGGATTTCCTGCTTTGTAGGTGACTGGCCTTTGTGGTGCGGTTTGGACAAGGATAGCCCCCCTCTTTCTTAAGACATTACTGTCTTCTTGGGATGGAAGGGGCATTCATATAGGGATCACTCACTTGTGGCTCTCCCCAGGAGGCGGGAGCCCCCAGTTCAGACCCCTCAAAAGAGCAGGGGAGTACCAGGTATCTGCCGCAACCTGGGCCTGTATCCTGATCAGGGTGGTCAAGAGTCAGTAGTTGGTGGGTGGGGTAGTGGGGTTACTGCACAGCAGCAATTCATCTTTAGTTGAAAGAGTAAGAGAGGCTGGAAATGGCCTTTTGATCACTTATAAGGACTCTCACACCAGAAGCCCTCCTGCCTGGCAGAGTAGGATTTGATTGAGGGCACTCTCACCCCAGGGGAGCACCCTAACCCCCATATCACAGCGGCCTGGGAAGCTTACTCTGCTCCATTTAACATATAGTTAAAATGGAAGTGAAAATGAAGGCAATAGATTACACTGCCACTTATTTCTCAACAAGCAGAAAAGGGATTTGAATGAGCAATTCTTTACTTCTGGGATAGGAAACCAAAGTCCAAGAACAGAGAGAGTCACAAGGTTTAGTGGCCCATTTGTCATTTCATATTTACTGAACATGACTAGCCATGAAGAGAAGAGACTGAAGGTGTCCCCTCCCCCCCGTAAAATCAGCATTTAGGCCATTCGTTT